CAAACTGTCTATTCTTATCCAGTAAATAACAACGACTAACTGTCTATTCTTATCCAGTAGAGAACAACGACTAACTGTCTATTCTTATCCAGTAGAGAACAACAACTAACTGTCTATTCTTATCCAGTAGAGAACAACGACTAACTGTCCATTCTTATCAAGTAATGAGCAACGACTAACTGTCTATTCTTATCCAGTAGAGAACAACAACTGTCTATTCTTATCCAGTAGAGAACAACGACTAACTGTCTATTCTTATCCAGTAGAGAACAACGACTAACTGCATTCTTATCTATTAGAGAACAACGACTAACTGTCCATTCTTATCCATTAGATAACAACGACTAACTGTCCATTCTTATTCATTAGAGAACAACGACTAACTGTCCATTCTTGTCCATTAGATAACAACGACTAACTGTCCATTCTTATTCATTAGAGAACAACGACTAACTGTCCATTCTTATTCATTAGAGAACAACGACTAACTGTCCATTCTTATCCATTAGACAACAACGACTAACTGTTCATTCTTATCCATTAGACAACAACGACTAACTGTCTATTCTTTTCCATTAGAGAACACCAACTAACTGTCCATTCTTATCCATTGGATAACAACGACTAACTGTCTATTCTCATCCATTAGAGAACAACGACTAACTGTCCATTCTTATCCATTAGAGAACAACGACAAACTGTCCATTCTTATCCATTAGACAACAACGACTAACTGTCCATTCTTATCCACTAGACAACAACGACTAACTGTCTTTTTTTATCCATTAGAGAACAACGACTAACTGTCCATTCTTATCCATTAGACAACAACGACTAACTGTCCATTCTTATCCATTAGAGAACATCGACTAACTGTCCATTCTTATTCATTAGACAACAACGACTAACTGTCCATTTTTATCCATTAGAGAACATCGACTAACTGTCCATTCTTATCCATTAGACAACAACGACTCACTGTCCATTCGTATCCAGTAGAGAACAACGACAAGCTGTCGATTCTTTTCTAATAGAGAACAATGACTAACTGTCCATTTTTATCTAATATAGATCAATGACTAACTGTCCATTTTTGTCTAATAGAGAACACTGACTAACTGTCCATTTTTATCTAATAAAGAACAATGACTAACTGTCCATTTTTATCTAATAGAGAACAATGACTAACTGTCCATTTTTATCAAATATAGATCAATGACTAACTGTCCATTTTTATCTAATAGAGAACAATGACTAACTGTCCATTTTTATCTAATAGAGAACAATGACTAACTGTCCATTTTTATCTAATATAGATCGATGACTAACTTTCCATTTTTATCTAATAGAGATCAATGGTTTAATGTCCATTTTTATCAAACAGAGATTAATGACTAACAGTCCATTTTTATCTAATAGAGATCAATGACTCACTGTCCATTTTTTTCTAGTAGAGATCATTGACTATAACTGTCCATTTTTTTCTAATAGAGATCAATGACTAACTGTCCATTTTTATCTTATAGAGAACAATGACTAGCTGTCTATTCTTGTGTAGTAGAGAACAAACTGAGCCACAGCAAAGATGTTGTCAAAGTATGTGCTCAGAAATCATTTGTTACAAAAAAACAGTAAAGATTTTTTAGACCAATCGGCACTAGGTGGGTAATGTGGTCAGTATTACGCCAGAGGTCTTTACCTCCCCAGGACATACATACTGGTACCCTGCGACGTCCCATACCATAACAAACCACACAGCCAGCAGTGGGTTTCGATCGCAGTAGGTTGGAAAAACGAGTCGGACTCACAACGCCAATGACACTGACGCCGCTATCAGAAATAATTATGCCTCACATATTTAGACAACTGCTTTCACAGACGGTTTCAAAAAACAAAAACAAAAAGTGAGCGAATCCTTATTGCAACACACTATAATTTTTTTTGTAGCAGGTCATCTGCAGAACGTCGCTCTCAACGCTGTCTGAAAAGAAACAAACTCGTTTTCGTGCCAGTTCTCCTGCCTCGTGTACTTTCATATATATGGAGTAAATCATATCCTTTGCCCATCTCCGTGTTGGTCGGTCCCTACCCCTTCTTCGTGGTACAATGCCTTCTGGTTTAATTTGTTCCCCAATTCCCCATAGCGCTTGTTATGATCGAAATATTTCAGCTCCTTTGCAATAGGTACACACACCTACGATCGGCATGGAAATCTTGCATCAAGTTCAGAGCAAAGGCAGCATCTCCTTTACAATTTGAAAATCACACACATTAGAAGGCTGTCCACAAAACCAGAACTAGTCCAGCAGTGAATTCCAAACTGCTTAGGATCCCTAGCAATAGAACTGTAGAGAGTTTTGAGGTCACATGAAACCTCATGAAGCCCTATCTTTCGCAGAGCTTTAACGCCGGGTACTCTTAAAGGAATCTAACAAGATGCACAGGAGAGAAGACTTCAACAAATACACAGAGCATGTATCGGGCTTGTAGACACGACATTCTCACAAGACATAAAGACAGGGCTTGCAAACACTATATCTACACAAGATATGAAGACAGGGCTTGCAGACACTTTATCTACACAAGACATAAAGACAAGGCTTGCGGACACAACATCTAACTAAGACATAAAGACAGGGCTTGCAGACACGACATCTACACAAGACATACAGACAAGGCTTGCAGAAACGACATCCACACAAAGCATGAAGACAGGGCATGCAGAAAAGACATCCACACAAGACATAAAAGCAGGGCTTGCAGAAACGATATTCTTACAAAACATGAAGACAAGACTTGCAGACACGACATCCGCACTAGACACGAAGACCGGGCTTGCAGACACGACATCCCCACAGGACTTAAAGACAGGGCTTGCAGAAACGACATTCTCACAAGACATGAAGACAAGGCTTGTAGACACGACATCCACACAAGACATGAAGACAAGGCTTGTAGACACGACATCCACACAAGACATTAGAACAAGGCTTGCAGACACGACATCCACACAAGACATGAAGATAAGGCTTCCAGAAACGACTTCTACACAAGACATGAAGACAAGGCTTGCAGACACGACATCTACACAAGACATGAAGACAAGGCATGCAGAAACGACATCCGCACAAGACATGAAGACAAGGCTTGTAGACACGACATCCACACAAGACATGAAGACAAGGCTTGCAGACACGACATCGACACAAGACATAAGGACAAGGCTTGTAGACACGACATCCACACAAGAAATGAAGACAAGGCTTGTAGACACGACATCCACACAAGAAATGAAGATAAGGCTTGCAGAAACGACTTCTACACAAGACATGAAGACAAGGCTTGTAGACACGACATCCACACAAGACATGAAGACAAGGCTTGCAGACACGACATCCACACAAGACAAGACGAAAAGTCTTGTAGACACGACATCCACACAAGACATGAAGACAAGGATTGCTGACACGACATCCGCACAAGACATGAAGACAAGGCTTGCAGACACGACAACCGCACAAGACATGAAAACAAGGCTTGTAGACACGACATCCACACAAGACATGAAGACAAGGCTTGCAGTCACGACATCTACACAAGACATGAAGACAAGGCTTGCAAACACGACATCCACACAAGACATGAAGACAAGGCTTGCAGACACGGCATCCACACAAGACATGCAGACAAGGTTTGCAGAAACGACATTCTTAGAAGACACGGAGACAGCGTCTAACAAGTACTTATAATGTATTGTGTTGTCTTACAATAACTAAGTGGTGTCAATTAATTTCTGACCAGTTAAATCGGTTAGGTACATGTTCTGTGAGAGAATGTCTAACCTTGTCACGCGGACTCGGCACTAGACAGAGGCTGTGACATCTTTGTAGGTCAGTGTGTCAATAGGAAAGAGCGCATCCTGCCCAGCTGTTGTTTGTGCACAAGTGACTGCCTGTGGAACGTACTGGGGGCGAGGCGACTGTAAAGCTCGTTCGGCCAAAGGGTCCATGCAATTGGTAGCCACACAACGGGAAGTCAACTGTCTATTGTATTACCTGTACTTGCAATAAAGATTGTCGTGTGTGCTCTGTGTGCGTTCGGGTTCAGTGTGTGTTAAAGGTTAGTTTGTCTGTCATGAGCCTAGTTACGAGCCACGGACCATCGAGGTCACCCAGAGGTCTGTGACAATTACTATTCTTGAAAGCAATGAGAGATATCCCACAAGTCTCTGTCTCACAACACTACACTCAAAGTGTACGAAACGTTGATAAGACCAGTCGCTTTAAATTTGTCTAAAACTTGGAGCAAAACTAAAAGAAATAAATGCGTATTATAAATTTTCGAAAACAGTGTTACGACGAAACTTGAACCAATCAAAGATGCCAACAGCAGGGAATGGAGAGTGAGAAACAACAAAGAAATTCTTAATCTGTTTAAATCACCTTTGATCACTGACATCATGAGATCAAATAGATTGAAATGGCTGGGGCATATTGAGCGAATATCGGATGACAGAGAGGTAAAAATTGTATACACAAGGCACCTGAATAGCAGTAGACCACGAGGCCGACCAAGAAGACCATGGAGAGATAATGTCAAGACACACCTACATCGCTTGGTGTCACCTACCGGAAAGACAGGGCTAGGGAGAGAGATGAAAGGATGCTGATGATTTCTCCAGCAGTAAACCTCAGTGGTTCGGAATGCTGAAGAAGAAGCAGAAGAATGAGAGATATCACTAAGGTTGACGGTGTTAAGCAAGTGGACATGTCCACACAATAACGGGTTGTGTTTATCTATATCCATGTGTCTACAATTTTTACGCCAACATCCCCCCACCACCTGCACCTTTTTTCTCCCGCTTTCTGTGTTATGTATTTATGTCTGTCAAGCTGTGATGTTCTGTGACTCGTTAAACAAAATGTTTTTATTTGTTGTACAATGTAATTTGTTTTTTCTAGATATCTGCTTGAGTGTTGGCTCTACAGACCACTAATATCATGTTGCTAGTCGTACTCGCATTCTTCGCTTTGTTCGCTTCCATAAATGGTGAAGAAACGGGTGAGAAAGCGTTCATTGACATAAAGGTTACATACTTATTTGTCTGTCTGCACAACCTCATCAGTATCATCGTCATCCTTCTTATTATCTTTGCTATCATCAACATCATGATCATCATCGCTATCATCATCGTCATCGTCATATTCATCATCCGCTACATTATTTTCTTGATTTTCCTGTTTGTCTTCTCCTATTTTTTGTCCTCCATCTTCTCTTGACTTATTCCTTTTCTTTCGTTCTCTCTTTCTTTCTCTCTTCTTTTTCTGTTTTCTTTTTCTTTTGCTTTTTCTACTTATTCTTTCTTTTGTTCTTATCCTCCTGTCTTTTCTTCGTTCTTCTTCTCACTCGCCTATGCTGGAAAATTCTTTCATCAGTAGTTGTATAAACCACTTTTGTCTAATGTGTTTTGTCATCGTGCAGTAATGATTAGACTATCAGCGTACTTTGCTCTTGTCTTGTCAGCGTGCACTAATGATCAGTTTCTATGTCCGGGAAGCCCTGTCAATAACTGCTCTCATCTCTAATATGTTTCTATGTCCCGGGAGCCGTAATAATAACTGCTCACATCTCTGATCTGTTTCTATGTGCCGGGAGCCGCAAAAATAACTGCTCACATCTCCGATCTGTTTCTATGTCCCGGGAGCCGTAATAATAACTGCTCACATCTCTGATCTGTTTCTATGTCCCGGGAGTGGTAAAAAAAAAACTGCTCACATCTCTGATCTGTTTATATGTCCAGGAAGCCCTGTTAAGAACTACTCACATCTCTGATCTGTTTCTATGTCCGGGATGTACCGTCAATAACTGCTCACATCTCTGATCCGTTTCTATGTCCGGTAAGCCCTGTCAAGAACTGCTCAATCTCTGATCTGTTTCTCTGTCCAGGAAATGTGGCCTTCACTGCTTCAATCGACGAATTCAAAACTATCGGAGCCAACACGGTTGTGAAGTTCACTAAAGTTTTCACCAACTACGGCAACGCCTACAACAGCCTCACTGGTGTCTTCACTGCCTCCAAGGTGAGTTCACACCTGTTTTCATTTTTAACCCCCCACCCTTCCTTCCCTTTCCTCATCATGCGAGTCTACACGGACAGACAGACGGAGAGACAGATAGATAGATAGATAGATAGATAGATAGATAGATAGATAGATAGATAGATAGATAGATAGATAGATAGATAGATAGATAGATAGATAGATAGATAGATAGATAGATAGATAGATAGATAGATAGATAGATAGATAGATAGATAGATAGATAGACAGATAGACAGATAGACAGATAGACAGATAGACAGATAGACAGATAGATAGATAGATAGATAGATAGATAGATAGATAGATAGATAGATAGATAGATAGATAGATAGATAGATAGATAGATAGATAGATAGATAGATAGATAGATAGATAGATAGATAGATAGATAGATAGATAGATAGATAGATAGATAGATAGATAGATAGATAGATAGATAGATAGATAGATAGATAGATAGATAGATAGATAGATAGATAGATAGATAGATAGATAGATATGATTCAATGCTTGGTCTACAGACTGGCCTGTACGTGTTTCACTTCCACGCTCTTGCCCGCCATAACTCTGGTTTCTGGTTCTGTCTCTACCACAACGAGGTTTGCTTGATCAAGGCTCATGGGAAAGTTCCAAATGCCTTTGGGATGGGAGGTAAGAAAGATTTGTCCTGGTATCTCTGATAGTTGATTTTTTGTGTCTTGGTGTCTCTAAAAGAAGATTGTTTATCATGGTATCTCTTACAGTTGATTGTCTCTCCTGGTATCTCATACAGTTGATTGTTTCTCCTGGTATCTCTTACAGTTGATTGTCTCTCCTGGTATCTCATACAGTTGATTGTCTCTCCTGGTATCTCATACAGTTGATTGTCTCTCCTGGTATCTCATACAGTTGATTGTCTCTCCTGGTATCTCATACAGTTGATTGTCTCTCCTGGTATCTCTTACAGTTGATTGTCTCTCCTGGTATCTCTTACAGTTGATTGTCTCTCCTGGTATCTCATACAGTTGATTGTTTCTCCTGGTATCTCATACAGTTGATTGTCTCTCCTGGTATCTCTCACATACAGTTGATTCTGTCTCTCCTGGTATCTCATACAGTTGATTGTCTCTCCTGGTATCTCATCTCTCACAGGTGATTTTTTTGACTTCATCTCTCACAGCTGATTGTTTTGGTATCTCTGACAGTTGAAGGTTTGTCATAATATCTAAGACAGGTGATTTTTTGACTTCATATCGCTGAATAGTGATTGATTCTCCTGGTATCTCTGACGCTGGCAGAAGAACAGATGGGATTTAGGAGAAATAGAAGCTGCACAGATGCAATCTTCACACTTAAACAGTTAATAGAAAAGAACATTGAATACAATAAGAACTTTTTTGTGGCATTCGTAGACCAGGAGAAGGCATTTGACAGAGTCGACAGTCAATTACTATGGAAAATAATGGCAAGATATGGAGTAAGCGAACACCTCATCGAAGTGTGCAAAAGTTTATACAGGGATTGTAGAAGTGTAGTTAGAATAAATCAGGGAACATCTCATCCTTTCACAGTGTCATCTGGAGTAAGACAGGGGTGTGTCTCATCACCACTGCTGTTTATCACCTACATCGACAGTATATGCAAGAATTCCAAGCCCATGAATGAAGATCTTAGTAAGATCAACGAATTACTCTTTGCAGATGACCAGGCCTTGATAGCAGATACAGCCATGAAATTGCAACAACATCTAACATCCATGAATGAAGAATGTAAAACAAATAATATGAGAATCAACACTGAAAAGACAGAAGTAATGTCAATAGGAAAAAAGAAGACAGATCTAAACATAGCAATAGAATACAAAGACATTAAACAGGCATCTGAGTTTAAATATCTGGGAACTACATTTACCGAAGATGGGAAATTGGATAAAGAAATTGACATTAGATGCAGTAAAGCAAACCAAGTAATGGGACAGCTAGCCCCCCTCTTACAGCATAAGACAATCCCAATCAGCACAAAGAGACATCTTATTCAAAGCATATTTATTCCAACTCTGTGCTACCAGTGCCAGACATGGTCACTCACAACAAACAATAAAAGAAAATAAGTAACCACAGAAATGAGATGTCTGAGAAGGGCTGTAGGAGTGACCATAAGAGATAAGATCAGGAATGAGATCATAAGAGAACAAGTCGGCACAGAACCAATTCTGGATTACATACAAAGACAGCAAGTGAAATGATTTGCCCACTTAGAGAGAATGCCTTGTGACACCATACCATACAAAGCATACATGGAAAGAGAAGAAGGACATAGAGCACGGGGTAGACCAAGAACAAGATGGAAGGATAACATCAGAGAAACTCTACAACAGCACGATGTGCCTATGGTCGAGGCAGCCAGAAGAGCTAGAAAGAACTTTATATCTCACTCGACACCCACAGCGGTAAAAGAGGAAGTGAAGAAGAAGAAGAAGAAGGTATCTCTGACAGACGATGTTTTGTCCTGGTAAATCTGACAGTTAATTGTTTGTCCTTGTATCTTTGACAGTTGATTGTTTGTGCTGGTGTTTTTAAAGGTTTATTGTTTATCCAGGAATCTCTAATGCTTGATTGTTTGTCCTGGTATCTATGACAGTTGAATGATTGTCGTGGTATCTCTGACATTTGATTGTTTTTCCTTGTATCTGTGACAGTTGATTGTTTGCCCTGATATCCATGATAGCTGGTTGTTCTAATCACTGATGCCTGATCAGTAGGTCTATCTTGGTAACTTAGTTGATTGTTTTTCCTGGTATCTCTGACAGTTGATTGTTTTTACAGGTATCTGTGACAGTTGATTCTTTGTTCTTGTATCTCTGACAATTTATTGTTTGTGCTGGTATCTTAGATAGCGGATTGTTAGGCATAGCATCTCTTACAGTTTATTGTTTGTTTTGATATCTTTGACAAGTTATTGTTGACGCGTGATTGTTAGTGCTGGTAACTTAGTTGATTGTCCTTGTATCTATTGCAGTTGGTTAATTGTCCTTGTATCTATTGCAGTTGGTTGATTGTCCTTGTATCTCTCACAGCTGATTGTTTCTTCTAGTATCTCTGAGATGTTTTTCTGAGACTGTCTGAAATGACAAAGTTTGCCAGAATAGCGCATTTATCAGCTGGCTGGTTATGACTTTGTCCCTGTTAAAACAATGGAACTCTCTGGTCATTTACATTTTTAGCCGTTTGTTAAAGTAGAAAACAAGAAGACAATATTTTCTGATCCCAGACTAACTTCCACACTCACGGACACACCTAACTACAGGGCATACACAGCTGTTTAATAATGATGATAATGATGATAATGGTAATTAGACCTATAATCATGATACTGATGATGCTAAACAATGAACTTAAATGTAAACTATGACTTTGACTTTGTGCAGGAAACACCATAGTTCTCAGAGTCAAGTCTGGCGAGAGAGTCTATGTGAAAACTGCTTCAGCCTCGAACCTCCAGGGAGACGGCAATGGCCAATACGCTACTTTCACTGGGTACTTGATCAGTCTGTGAACTAGTAAGGTGTAGGCACAGACTGGTGAGGTGTAGGCACAGACTAGTGAGGTGTAGGTACAGACTAGTGAGGTGTAGGCACAGACTAGTGAGGTGTAGGCACAGACTAGTGAGGTGTAGGTACAGACTAGTGAGGTGTAGGTACAGACTAGTGAGGTGTAGGTACAGACTAGTGAGGTGTAGGTACAGACTAGTGAGGTGTAGGTACAGACTAGTAAGGTGTAGGTACAGACTAGTGAGGTGTAGGTACAGACTAGTGAGGTGTAGATACAGACTAGTAAGGTGTTGTAGGTACAGACTAGTGAGGTGTAGGTACAGACTAGTGAGGTGTAGGTACAGACTAGTGAGGTGTAGGTACAGACTAGTGAGGTGTAGGTACAGACTAGTGAGGTGTAGGTACAGACAAGTGAGGTGTAGGTACAGACAAGTGAGGTGTAGGCACAGACTAGTGAGGTGTAGGTACAGACTAGTGAGGTGTAGGCACAGACAAGTGAGGTGTAGGCATAGACTAATAAGGTGTAGATCAGTCTGGAAACTACTGAGAAATAGACTAGTCTGTGGACTAATGATATACAGATCTGTTTGCAAAATTCTCTAAGTCAGTCTGAGTGTTAAAAAAAAAAGTCCACCTAGATAAGAATGCCATAATTTCTGAGGGATCTGATAAACAAGATAGAATTGAATATGTTAAGATCGAAAGTTTGAACTGATAACCTCAATGACAGGAGAATATGTTTTCGAATGTGCAAGTAAATTGACTTCTTGTTAAAATACAGTTTCCTGTATTGTTTCCTGTAAATCTTCATGTACTGTTTCCTTTATTGTTTCCTGTATTGTTTCCTGTATTGTTTCCTGTGTTGTTTCCTGTATTGTTTCCTGCATTGTTTCCTGTATTGTTTCCTGTATTGTTTCCTTTATTGTTTCCTGTATGGTTTCCTGTATTGTTTCATGTATTGTTTCCTGTATTAATTCCTGTATTGTTTCCTGTATTGTTTCCTGTGTTGTTTCCTTTATATTGTTTTCTGTTAACCTGTAACCATGATGATCTGTTTGTTAAGTGACTAAATGTTTTGTATACCCTTTATCAAGATTTATCAGATTCCCGTGTTTTCCCTTTTACTATGAGATTGTTTTTCTACGTGTGTGTGTGTGCGTCTGTAAATGTGTGTTAGTGTGTGTGTGTGTGTGTACATGTGTGTGTGTGTGTCTGTCAGGTAATCGCAAGTCTGACTTCACTGCAAACAGGTCACCCCAGGCCTAGTTGCTGTGTTTCTGTGCCACAGAAATCCCTACAGAACGAGTATGCCTGACTCTTGTGCCAAGGAAATCCACACAGCACGTGCACGGCTGATGCTTGTGCCAAGGAAACCAAACAGAACGCGCACAGCTGATCATTGTGCAAAGGAAACCACACAGAACGTCACGGCTGATCCATGTGAACAAAACTGACACCACCTGCAGTCTTAGCAAAGCCAGCAGCATGCACACACGCTCAACAGATACGGTATGTTACCAACAGTGCCAACACCAGCAGTCCACCTCTAGAAGACATGCAGCAGTTACAACAGATCATATTTGCACAAGAAACTCTCAGTTCTCTAGCAACGTGCCACACGCCCTTTTTTGAAACTACAGCTCTTACAGACCATGTTGTGTACAGTCGAAATGCATTATAAAGGAAATCTGCAGCTCACAGTGACGCGCCAAGCTATCAACTCACTGCCTGGGAGACGGAACAATATATTTACAGTCTAAATATGGAAGAATTGCTACAGCTTACAATTATTAAAAAACAAACCCTTCCCACGACTTAATTAGTGAGTATGCATATCCACCATACAGACAGGAAGTGTTCCAGGCTGTCATTGCACTAAGGTCTCTAAAGATTCCAAGTTCAGCCAGCTGTACCGGTTTCTGCTGGTCTCACAGAACACAGACCTGGATCTGCAGACACGGTTCTCGTGGATAATCATGGCAATCTACGAAATGACATCTGTCATGCCAGTTAGGCCATATAGGCGTTATGTGTCCATAAGTTCTGCCATTTACTTTCTTGCTCTCTTTCCGCCCCCCCCCCCCCCCCGAAATCCACTGTCTCTCTCACACATTTCTCTCTGTCTGCTGTCTCTCGTCATTCCCCATTTTTTTTCTCTCGCCCCATCTCTCAGTGTCTTTCATCCTTTCCTTGTTGTCTAACTCTCTTTCTCACATTTTTACCATCCCTGTTTCAGCTACCAATAACCCCCTTCTCCCACCCTCGCTCTTTCTCTCCTCTTTCTCTACATGGCTCTGTTAGATTTTCCCCTAAACTCAATCCCGTCTCTAATACTATGTCCCCCACCCCCATCCCCGCCCGCAACACCCAGTCTAACTCAGCAATGTCCTAGAAGAGACAGACACCCCCCCCCCCCCACCCCATCCCGCCTGCAACACTCAGTCTAGCTCAGCAATGTCCTTTCCTTGTTGTCTAACTCTCTTTCTCACATTTTTACCATCCCTGTTTCAGCTACCAATAACCCCCTTCTCCCACCCTCGCTCTTTCTCTCCTCTTTCTCTACATGGCTCTGTTAGATTTTCCCCTAAACTCAATATCGTCTCTAATACTATGTCCCCCACCCCCATCCCCGCCCGCAACACCCAGTGTAACTCAGCAATGTCCTAGAAGAGACAGACACCCCCCCCCCCCCCCCCATCCCGCCTGCAACACTCAGTCTAGCTCAGCAATGTCCTAAAAGAGACAGACCCCCCCCCCCCCCCCAACACACACACACACACACTGCGACCATGAACAGTTGTGAATGTATTTCTGTTCAAGGAAACATTGCTGTCTGGCCTGGTCATTATCGATGTGTGAAAGAATGTTGTTGATGTGTGAGTGAGTGTTGTTGATGTGTGAAAGAATGTTGTTGATGTGTGAGAGAATGTTGTTGATGTGTGAGAGAATGTTGTTGATGTGTGAAAGAATGTTGTTGATGTGTGAGTGAATGTTGTTGATGTGTGAGTGAGTGTTGTTGATGTGTGAAAGAATGTTGTTGATGTGTGAGTGAATGTTGTTGATGTGTGAGAGAATGTTGTTGATGTGTGAGTGAATGTTGTTGATGTGTTGGTGAATGTTGTTGATGTGTGAGTGAATGTTGTTGATGTTTGAGAGAATGTTGTTAATGTGGGAGAGAATGTTGTTGATGTGTGAGAGAATGTTGTTGATGTATGAGAGAATGTTGTTAATGTGTGAGAGAATGTTGTTGATGTGTGAGAGAATGTTGTTGATGTATGAGAGAATGTTGTTGATGTGTGAGAGAATGTTGTTAAAGTGTGAGAGAATGTTGTTGATGTGTGAGTGAATGTTGTTGATGTGTGAGAGAATGTTGTTGATGTGTGAGTGAGTGTTGTTGATGTGTGAAAGAATGTTGTTGATGTGTGAGTGAATGTTGTTGATGTATGAGAGAATGTTGTTGATGTGTGAGTGAATGTTGTTGATGTGTGAGAGAATGTTGTTGATGTGTGAGTGAATGTTGTTGATGTTTGAGAGAATGTTGTTAATGTGTGAGAGAATGTTGTTGATGTGTGAGAGAATGTTGTTGATGTATGAGAGAATGTTGTTAATGTGTGAGAGAATGTTGTTGATGTGTGAGAGAATGTTGTTGATGTATGAGAGAATGTTGTTGATGTGTGAGAGAATGTTGTTAAAGTGTGAGAGAATGTTGTTGATGTGTGAGTGAATGTTGTTGATGTGTGAGAGAATGTTGTTGATGTGTTGGTGAATGTTGTTGATGTGTGAGAGAATGTTATTGATGTGTAAGAGAATGTTGTTGAAATGTGAGAAAATGTTATTGATGTTTGAGAGAATGTTGATGATGTGTGAGAGAATATTGCTGGTGTGTGAGTGAATGTTCTTTATATGCGAAGGAATGTTGTTGGTGTATGAGGCAATGTTGTTGGCGTGTGAGGAATGTTGGTGATGTGTGAGTGAGTGTTGTTGGTGTATGAGAGAATGTTATTTATGTGTGAGTGAGTGTTGATGGTGTGTGTGTGTGCGCGAATGTTGTTGATGTGTGAGGGAGTCATGTTAGTATGTGAGAGAATGTTGTTAGGAGTGAGTGAATGTTGTTGGTGTGTGGGTGAATCTTGATGGTGTATGATTGAATGTTGTGGGCGTGTGAGGAATGTTGGTGATGTCTGAGTGAATATTGTTTGGCATAAAAAAACGTTGTTGGCTTGTGAGTAAAAGTTGTTGGTGTGTGAATTTATAATGTTATTAAACTACAAACATTCATTACCTGATTCCTGCACAGAACAGAAGGAGTTAAGTTGTATGATAGAATCACTAATGTTGGACTTTGGGAGAGAACTAAACAAGTTTAAGGAAATCAAGCGGCGAAGAAAGACGCTGGCGTTGGATAGGACATGTTGACGAAGCCTGCGACAAAATAACAAGAATTCTATGCAATGGAACCAGCAGGGACATGAAGATAAAGGCAAAAAAGAGAAAAAGGAGGAGGAGGAGAAGAAGAAGAAGAAGAAGAAGAAGAAGAAGAAGAAGAAGAAGAAGAAGAAGAAGAAGAAGAAGAAGAAGAAGAAGAAGAAGAAGAAGAAGAAGAAGAAGAAGAAGAAGAAGAAGAAGAAGAAGAAGAAGAAGAAGAAAAAGAAGAAGAAGAAGAAAAAGAAGAAGGAGAAGAAGAAAACGAAGAATACGTCCCAGTCTTTCAAAGGATGCTCATAAGGAACAAAACGATAGAGAATAGTTTGCCATTGCTGATCACAATGTCAGTCTCAGGTGTGACTAATCATATCAGAAAAGAGATTATTGTGAATGATTTCAACTACGAGTGTAACGACCAGGAACTGTTGACAAGTCAGTGCGCAACTATGTCAAAACATTAAACAATTAAATTATTAATTTAATCAGACAGAGCCTGTTTAAGTACAAAGGCAGCGTCACAGCTTGTCATTTTATTACATCAGTAAACCAACTAGGGATAATAAAAGAACCGCCATGTCAC